CGTACCATTGTCAACATCTTCGGCCTTGATCAACTTGTTGAAGTTGCATTTGAATTCTTCGTCTTCCGATTCAAGGTCAAACATCAATTGTGGCGGTATCTCATCTTTCCCCCAACTGATGTCTCCTAAACAGTCTGCCAACTTGCCTCAATTCCACGGTCGTTAATCTTGGACAGTGCTTTGTCGACAATGGTGCAACTTGTAATTCTACATGCACCGCTGATGATATTCCAGAGACCAGTCCTATACTAATGTTAGTATGGTCGATGGTTCTTCCCTCACGACTTTGCGCGAGTGCACAACATTTCAAACAAATGTCATGAATCCGACCTGTAGTATCATTGACTGCTGCGAGCCTTGTGTCGATGAACTAGAGGCTGTCATGAATTGCATTGCTCAAGATGCCTTGGACATCACCCAACAGGAGTCAAATAGCGATTGTGTTCTGACGTGCACTGCAACCAGTCGTCGTCATAGGCGTCAATTGGAACCAGAACGAAAGATGGCTGGCCATGATGGAAACACGGCTAATAACTTATTCGACCAAATGCTTTCGCCAGAAACCATATTGGCAGAGTGTGGTCTCCTTTTCGAGACAGCAGATGGATTGAACGGATTGAGAGCAGGAATCGAGGAGCTTTCAACACGTATTGTGGAAGGAGCATTCTTCAAATGCCTCTTTGAAAGTCTCATTGCCTTGGCTGATCAAGGAGCCAAAGAAAGCAGCAATGCAAATGCTTCCTCTCCAACAGCAGCGCCGGAAACAGCAACCGATACTGCTGCAGCGGTTGGTTCTGGGCATTTGTCTAGTCCATCAACGCTGATAGTCTCGGCTATCATGATGTTGGTTGGAAGTATTTTAATTTTAAAGTTCGGATTCCAATGCGATCTTGTTTCAAATCGAGGCCAATTAGAAGTATTGGATGAACTAAAATGACTCCATTTTGCTTTTCTATAAGAGTCCCCAATAGTATATAGTATGCAATACGACTTCCTTTTTGCATCTCTTTTTCGGATGATGAACACTTTGCTGATTGTTGCTTCTACCAAGTTGAAGGGTATCTTATATTGTACGAATAAACTCATCCTCCAATCTGTGCAGTTTTGGAGCGTTATTATTGTGCTAATTTCATTCAATGATGTCATTCTGTTACCACAAAGATAGATTAAAAACCAAAGATACTAGTATGACTTCTCTGGACAGCCAAGACCAAGAATAGATTTTATATAGTAAGCATCGCCAAGGATAAGTCTAAGACTCTAGCTTTAGGACTCAAACCGTTCAAGTGCTTCAACAACGTTCTTGCGAGCACGCGTAAAACAACAAGTCTCTCACTGGTGGCGGAAGAAATAGGTGCCACGTTTAGAGGGTCTCGACCTTTGACGTGGTCTGGATCAACCGAATGATTTCTAAATACCGTACGCTGGAGGAACCATCATTTTTGTTCTTGTCCCGAAGCAGATTCTTGCCAACCAAAACTTTGTATCTAAATCTTAGGTGGGACAATTCGTTAAAGATTCTATCGTCCTCCTTCTTCACTTAAAGTTCACCAATAGTTCACGAGTTGTTGCATATGACCATGCTGCAATACTGCATACAGAGACATGTTGTTATTTTGATAATAATATTTAATATTATAGTTGCAAATTATAATACAAATAACACTGCGGACGAAAGTTACGGGGTTTCTGGAAGATTTACGGGAATGGTATGTACTCCCATCCGTTTTTCCCCGTATATTCCCTGTATCGGCAATTTGTCCGGTAAAAACTCCTGTAGCGCCGAGAAAATTCGTTGTTTGTTGAGCAATCCCGTAAAAACTCCCTTTTCCTGCGTTCGATGGTAGCTTCAAAACTTGAGCAGGCATATACCTTGATACAAATCGAATATTATATGCCATACAACACGATCATCATGATGAACTGAAAGTGGTTAGAGAATTTTACGAGCTGATTTCTTTCGTCCGTTGAGCATTTCATCATGGTTATATACTGCATCATATCCTTGGATCACACCCGCGTTTGCGCAATAATACAACAACCATCCCATCTCAATGTTTCTTTTTTCGAACTCTGTAAAGATATGACCCCGATCCACGAAAAACCACCACTCACGATGGGACAATGATTGAGGGCGAAATGGAAGCCAAAGAAGGTAACTATGCCGGCTACAACACAGACACCATCTACAACACGTGTTCCAGAAGAGCAATGGGGTTTGATTTGCAATCATGCAA